ATGACAATTCCCAGAATTCCCCAGCATTGAGCCATGACAGTTCAAGCGCTGTCAAAGAGGATTATGTCTGCAGCCTCTTGTTTCCAAGCAGAAAGCATCCAAAACAAACCACTCATCTCCTTTGCAATTGGAAAGCATGGGGCTTTTAGTTCTCTCCAGCCTCCAGAGCTGGGATTTGGAGGTGCATCTCTGCCTGTTGAATTGCAGCCTGCAGCCTGCCCTGTCCCTTTAAAGACCCAGCTGCCTTGGAAAACGAAAACATGCAAAGATGGCAGAGATTTCCTCCTCCTCCTCCTCCTCCTCTTTTCTAGCCAGACCTCCTCGGTTTGCAATGCAAAAGGCGCAGAGGCTTCGCAAGGCATTGCAACACTGCAGTTGCAAAATGGCAATCCTTTGCAAAAAAAAGGGCATTGCATGCAAAAAGGGGGTGCAAATGTGTGAGAAGGGGGAGATGCACACTCCATCCAGACCTTACTCACCCCGATCCTCCGGATTTGCTACTTTTGGCATCCGCTTTTGGCATCACGTGCCTTTCCTCTGGGAGGAGCTCCAGCCTGGGAGGAAACCGGTCTTCTGAGCATGGACAGAAAGCCTACACACACACACACAGACACACACACACACCATTATTATTATTATTTTTTTGCAACGAACCAAAACTTATAGCAAGATGGAAAACAATGTTTGTTATTGTCTGCTTCCACTTGATGTAACTACCATTCTTACCATTTTATTATTATGTTTCCTATTGTGTGTAAACATATTGTTTGTGTTGTATATTGTATCTATACAGTATAGACAATACACACACATACTCTCTCTCTCTCTCTCTCTCTCTCTATGTATATATATAGTGTGTGTGTATGCATTGTGTATGTGTGTGTATATATATAGTTTATACTGCATTTATATTGTACATTGTATCTATATAATGTACATTGTATGTGTGTGTATATATATATATATATACAATATATTGTATCTATATATCGTGTTTATATATATATATATATATATATATATATATATTGCTTATATTGTATGTACAGTACTGTATATATATACAATATAGAAAAAATATACAATATATACAATAAAGAAAAAATATAAAAATATACTATATTGTATATATATATACAATATGGAAAAAATATACAAAATATATATAATTTATGTTGCATCTATATTGTATATTTTTTCTATCTATTGTACATAGTATATTTATCTAGATATATAGATATACATATATAGATATTGTACATTGTATAGCTAGCTAGCTATTGTATATATATATATATATATATATATTGCTTGTATTGTGTGTATATTGTAAATACATACAATATATAAACTATATAAATATATGCACATACACACACACA